CTGTACTGAAATTAGAATAAGATTACGTATAATTTTTTTTTTAAATTAGTATAATTTCAGATTAAATTAGATAGATTAGATTTTACTAGGTGAAATTAGAATTATTACGAATGAAATTGAATATTTTGTGCACTATAGGCTGGTGATCGACCTTACCATGTTCGAGGTACGACCAATTTAGTCACATACCATGAGCGTTATCTGTCATATCTCGGACCGGCGAGCTTGTCTAGTGTTTTGCCCCTGGTCCCTACGAATTCTGATGCGAGTTTGATTACTGCGCTCGTAGAGCATTGGCGACCCGAGACGTCGACCTTTCACTTGCCGTTTGGTGAGGTCACGATCACGTTAGAGGACGTTGTGACACTAATCAGTCTAGCAATCGACGGTGATGTCGTCATAGTAGACATACCGGATAAGGAATGGCCGGAGATCTGTTTGAGACTGTTTGGCTGAGTGATTGTTTTCGGCGGTGTTCCTGATGATCTTTCCGGCGGTATCGTTGGGATTGTTTGGCTGAGGGATGAATTCAATCATCTTCCGGGAAATGCATCTCAGGAGGTTACAGAGCAGTTTGCTTGAGCTTATGCTCTATCTCTGATGGGAGGTGTATTGTTCTCGGATCGGTCTGGAGCTACGGTGCACCTATAGTACCTACTCTTGGTTGAGGATTGGCAGTAGGGATGGCAATCAAACCCATGGCCGCGGGTACCCGACCGCCCCCGACCCAGTCAACGCGGGTAATTCCCGCTTTGACAGGGTATGGGGCGGGTATGGGTAAAACCCGCAAAAAGTTTGATGGGTATGGGGCGGGTATGGTTTTAGCCTCCCCCGCCCCATACCCATACCCATATCCGCCCCACCAAGAGAATTTCTTCACATATACAAAAACATGTGGATCAAATTGTAATCTATCAATGGTGATGAGGATAACTCAAGGAAATAAATAATAGAAATGCAATTGAGTGACCACTTTAATCAAAACCTAATTCATTTCCCTCAATTCTCCTTTCACTCTTTCACTTTCCCCCGTGTCAACAAGATTATGTTAGTTAATTATTACTTAGTAGATGTATAAGAGTTAGAACATAATAATTTGAAAAATATTATACTCTATATTATGTATTAATGAATATTTTAGGATCATATCCTTTGAACCATATTAAGAAAATGATCGTGTTTTGTTGAATTCGTGATATGATAGGTACGTTTAGAGTTGTAGTTCAAACTTTTCTTGTGAATTTTTGGATAATAGTGTTGGACGTACGGGTACGGGTATTACCCATGGGTACCCGAAACCCACGGGTATGGGGATGAGTTTGCCGAACATTCCCCCGCATGTGTATGGGGCGGGTATGGGTTTGGATATTTGAAGATGTGGATGGGGATGGTTTAGACAAACCCGCCCCAAACCCGGCCCATTGCCATCCCTAATTGGCAGAGAGCTGGACGATTCACCTGTGAAGCAGCTGTTTTATCCTGCATGTACCGTGAGATGGGTAGGTCAGCTTTGCACATTACGCATTCCTCCACTTCTCTAAGAGGTGACCTTGGTGGATGGGTCCGCTTACTGCATCTCTGGGCGTGGGAGCAATTCCCACATCTAACACCGCGACATTCAGAGACGAGGGCGCAGATTGTCGAGCACGCATCCCCACGTGGTGTTCGATGGCTTCCGGCCAACATTCGTTAGTATGGTGACCAACTATTCCAGTACAAGCTGTGGTTTGACAAGATGGAAACCATGGTGGTTAGTATATAACATTTCATTTTATAGAATAGTTTTCATTTGTTTGTTTTACATTTTGGAGCAATAACGTGACCATTATTCGTCTATAGTGGTAACCTTACGTTGAGAGAGCACATCATCTCAAAGGTAGTGTGATACAGTCTGAGACATTTCGAGCAGTAGTGCCACTAATCGGAGCATATGGAGTGGTATCGAGATGTCACCAGACGTTCAGGCACACGGAGAGGACCTATAGTGGAGGCATTGGTTAGTTATTTATTGTTTAATATTTTTTTGTATTTGTCTTGAATTTCTTAACTGTGTGAAAACCGAAATAGCAGCCGCTGCCACTTTAATCAAATGATCGAAAAAACCGAAATAGCAGCAGCGCCTGAGTCTCAGGCGTTTTCGGCGTCGCCAAATTTATTCTTCAAAACACAATAACTGTGTCAATATTTTTTAATCCGCCATATTGACGGTAAATTAAAATAAAAATACAATATTTATGTCATTAACCCTCATTGGGTTTGATTTAGAATATATTGCGGAATATGTTGCCTCCCAACTGACGATTCTTTCAGGTCTTGTAGTCCACGCATGCATTAGGATGAAGGAGCTTACTCCCTACTAGTCTTCCAGATGGAGGTTTCCCTAATGAGATTGATCCTGAAGTCATATGACTATCTGATCAATTGTCTTCTTATTCTTCTTCCTATCCTCCATCTCACTATCCGAACAAATTATCTGGTCTCCAAGTTTGAAAGACTTTACCGAAGCTAACTAAGAAAGCAAGTACGTTGAGGAAACAAAATTAGCATGAAGGCTGAAATCTGACAATATACGTTATCGAGAAGTGTCATCCCCCTAGAGACCTTGTATCTCAACTTTTGGTCATGGGATATCATATCAGCATTCCCTACTCCCAGTTGATCACAATTAAGCACCGAGAGCCCACACCTAGAAACAGAGCTGGTCCACCATTATATTCCCCAGACACCTTCAGAGATGGTTAGTGAGAGCTTTCAGAAAAAAATGGTTTGGAGAATCTGAAATCCCACTCATTTCATTGAAGCAAGGGTTGGAGACAGATTGGCAGCTAAGGCTTAGCCATGATGGACTCACACAGCCTTCAACAGTTAATGCACAGTAGAAAAAGAAATCAGAAAACTGCAGACAGTAACAACCCTCGCAGCTCCCAAAGTATGCGGATAATGCATTTGGCTATAAACGTTCTCACGAGCTGCTATGAATTTGGTGGCTGCTGCTATGCTTAACTGACTCTAAGCTAGACGAACAGATAATTGTATATGGCACAAGCATGAAGACATGAACAGTTTGTATCATTCGAGAGACTTACATCCACTGGCTAATTGAAATTGTCAAAATCAAACGTCAGAGAGTGAAAATGCTTTCGGCTTTTGGAGAATGCTAATAGACTAAGAAACAATGTGAACCCTTAATACCACTGATCATAGATTCCAAGGAATCACCATTCACCAACAAGAATGTACAACTCGAGGATAGCCTGCACCAGGAGAACTCAGAAGAATGATTATCACATCAATGGTGCTCAATGGGGTTGGGTTTTGATTTGATGCATAAACAAGCACTTGGCTGCTGCAAGCCTATTTTATCTCCTTTCAATTCAGTCGCATCCTGCTTCTAAATGCTCAGGACCTCAATCTATGGCTACAATGAGGAAAAGGGTACCTTGGCTAACACAGTAGAGCTTATGTAAATAATGTTCCCCAACTTATGGCAACTCTTTTAAGGCATCTGCTCCAGCTATGATCTCTAACAACTCGCCCGTGATTTTAGCCTGGCGTTCTCTGTTGTAAACAACAGAGAGATTCTTGGTCAACTCAACTGCATTATCAGTTGCATTACTCATCGCATTCATCCTCGATGCCAGCTCGCTCGCATATGACTCCTGAAGTGCTCTCAAGATCTGGCTGTTCAAATAAAGAGGCATCATAGCATCAATTATTTGGACAGGGTCCTGCTCAAACTCCATAAGAGGTGAAAGCCCCATACCACCTCCTTTGGCACTCACACTCTCCCTCTCCACAGCCAATTTCCCTTCCTTACTTGTCAACCTAAAGAACTCATCTTCAGTAGCATCAACCGAATCACCATTAGCAGCCCGAATGCCTCCTTTAGGCGACAAAGGCAGCAATGTCTGGATCACTGGTTTCGACTTGATCAAAGACACAAATTTAGTGTACACAAGCTCAACCTTATCAACCTCTTCAGTTATAAACATTGAGAAAACATCATCAGCAATCATTTGAGCCTCCTTTGCTGTGGGGAAACTGTTCCCTTCAACGAACCTGTCAACTGAAATGTTAGGCCTGCGCATATAGTACGAATTACCCTTCTTCCCCACACTGATCACAGAGCAATCCAACGCAAGCTTTCCTAATTCAGCCATACGGGCTTCTGCCTTCCTCAAAACAGCATTGTTAAAACCACCACAGAGACCCCTATCACCCGTGACAACAACGAGAGCAACTTTCTTGACGGGTCTAACCTCTGTTAGAGGAACATTAACGTCCTCTGGCTGAAGGCGTTCGTTGATATCATAGAGGACATCAAGTAAGGTTTCGGCAAAAGGTCTGCCGTTGACCGCAGCTTCTTGAGCTCGCCGGACTTTTGCAGCAGCCACGAGCTTCATTGCCTCGGTGATTTTTTTGGTGTTCTTGACTGATTGCATCCGCTCCCTCAGCTCACGGATTCCGCAGCAGATTAGAGCTCTTGGTGGTGTCTGCAAGGAAGCTCCTTTCCCAATCGAAAGGCCGAATGGGTTGGATTGAAATTGAGAACAGAAGCCAAAAGTGTCGACTTTCGACAAGTTTGGAGTGACCCACAATGCTAGATTGGCAGAGGACATGATTCGGATTCAGGGAAGACCCAAGGGCAATCAGAAGATAAACCGCTGTCTACCAAATCCTTTGCACAGCAGTGATATCTAAGGGTTTTGCTGAGAGAAGCAGAACAGTGAAACTTTGGGAGGCTGCTGAAGACGGATAAGTAAGAGGTCGATTGAGCTTACCAAGAAGAAAAATATTGACTTAATGAGGAGGCTTACAATCAGGGCATCCACTAAGAGCCTCGCCGTTGAAATCGGTCAACAGGGGCTGGTGACAAACGAGATACGGTTTCCGGCGAATGAATTCGAATTCTCCGCCGGTGCGGTTTAGGAGGTGAGGTGCTAGCGGTGGCAGGGACCAACCAGCAGCCAGCCTCTCTGACCGGAGCTTCCAAAGTGGAAATTAAACCCTTTTAGCGAGGTAAAAGAAAAAAGAAATTCTACCAATTTTGAAACAAATGTCGGGTTCCGGGTCAGTAGCACGAATGCAAACCGGTTGACCGACTTATTTGGGTCGAACTGAAAGCCCCCCATTGCCATCTTCCGGACAGAGAGCCCTGCAAAACAAGGTTGAAAATACGGAATCATACTCTTTCCGTCTCTTCTCTTCTGCAACCGTCTGCTGTTTCCTTCCGTAAATGGGTTCGAATTAACTCCGTCGAAGATTGGATTGGCGAAAATGTCGAAATTTTTCGCGAGAATTTCTGGCTACTTCAGCAACCGTGCTTCCGCTGGGGTGGACAAAGCAGGAAATCGCTACTTCTCCAGAATAGAAGAGATCGATGGCGTAAGTAAGTACATATCTTTTTCTCCTCGTGATTTTTTCTATTGATCTTAAGCCCTTCTGTTCGTTCTTTTTCTTCTTTTGAGCCCTGCTGTTGCCATTATACATGGAATGTCATCTGCTTAGCTGATTTGAGCTGAAGTTCAGTGACTTGGTTATTGTAATCCAGTCAGTATTAAGTCGCTTAACATCATTTGCAATTTCTCAATATATGTTCAGCTCTCAATCTTGTAGTGATTATTTGCAGCGAAAGAGAAAAGATGGGTGATATTTAAAGGAGATCAGGATCCAACTTCAGTACCAGGTTAGCCATATCCCAACTCTGGTTCTGCTTGGTTTGGTTTTTGGTGTTTGATTTTCTCAAACCGGCATATATTGTTAACCGTTAGTTGCTGAGATATGGCTTTTGAACTCGTTAATGGTGGTCATTTTTGCTCCCACCATGACATGCTGGCATTGTACTGAAACTTTTAGGATGTTGAACTAGACAACTGCAAATATTCACCCCATCTTATCTTATGTGAGTGGTTTTCTGTTATTTACTACTGCAGTTGAGTGGATATCTTGGCTGAATGGACAGCGGAAGAAGGCTCCAACTCCCGAGGTATAGTAGTAGTTATGTTTGTAATGTTTGATCATTGATGTAAGCTTCACAGGCATAGGAGAAACCTTCTGATGGGATTGCATCATGTTCTCACTTTTCATTAGAGAAGTGAGTTCTGGGTTTTAGCTTCTTGTTGAACCAAAATTTTGTCTCGTCTGGTTCTTGATCAATAACAAACTGCGTAGTACTTTTGAGGGTCCTGTGTCTGATATAAAATATTGCATACTAGATTTCTAAGCACTATTTGATTGTAACTTTGGAGGAATTTCTTCTCCTTGTGTGGGAAGTAGCATCATTATTGGTGTTTTTCTTTTCTTGGCACTTGTTAGATGTCCTGAGCAGAACCATTCCAACCATTTGCTTTTTCATTTTCTCTTCAGGAAATGATGATATTAGAAGCAAGGCGTGAACAAGTCAAACAAAATGTTGCTCGTACGTGTCACATGTGCAATCAGTTGGATATTCTTAAAATGATATATGTGTAGTTCTTTGCATATATCTATTGCAATCTCATATCTGAACTTCCTTATTCTGTTAAAAGAGCTGGGTGTGGGAATTTAAGTACTTATGCATTGAAGAGTCGTCACTGAACCATAGAACTGAGTGTACTTATCAGTTATCACTTTATATCCTAGAAAGTACAATTTAGAAGGTTTCTGCTCCTATTTCTTCTGCTGTCATAGTACCACCTTATGAGAAACAATCACTAAGTATCTGCTGTGGCGAAGCATCTAAACATTAATTTGGTGAATGCGCGCTTACTCATATTGCTGACAAGCAGAAAATGTAGATGCCATCAATGGTCTTTAGCATAATGTATGTATCTATGCTGCATAGTGGAATTCTAATTTCCAGATGCTTGTTGTTGCCCTATTGTATTTTCTCATTTCTTTTCCTTGCATCTAAATCAGTGCCTTCGACAGTTCTGTTGCTGGGTCGCTGTGGCCTGCAGTGTTTAGATTGGACATTTTGTAGATCTCGTGTTCAGCTTTTACTAGCTCTCGGCTAGGACTTCAATAAACATTTTGTTTCCACTTTTGCAGTTCTCAAAAGGGAGGAAGAGGAAAGAAAAGCCAAGGATGGCAGTTCCCGCAAAGTTGTTACCTCAGGTGAGCTAGCTTCACCCCCATGACGAGTCTTGCTATTTATTAACCAGCCTTAGTACAAGGAGCTGATTCATTCTACTTTGCACTTTGTATAGGTAAAGGTTCAGGCCCAGACTTGAAGAGTTTCATGCGACAGTTTCCTACTTCCGGAGAAGGTAGACCTCCTTTCCACCTTCATAGAACAAGAGACTTTCGTGGCTCATAAATTTTTTATGTGATCTTTTATTGTAGTTTTAGTTCATTGGACAAACAATTCATATCCCACATTTTCTGTCTCAGTTTAGCATTATATATTTCAAGTTTTCATGGTGGCGCTTGCTTCGCAGGTGGTATCGTAACTGAGAAGGAAGCAGATGAATCAGAAAGATTGAGGTGGGTTATCTTTAAAGCTTATACCCAGAATGAGATCCCAACTTTGAACACTTTCTAGCGTCATTGCTCAAGCGCTTGAACTTAAATTAAATGTCATCGTGCATCCGATTGGCATTTTGAACCTTTCACATTAAGTAGAGCTAGACTCTCATGCTGCAAGTGATGTTACCACTGACCACTTGTAATTCAACAGGAACGAGGATCCAAAGACCGACGAAACTGAGCAAGAAGAGGCAGAAGGGGAACCTGTGCCACGGTATGTGTTCATAAATAGTAAATGTATAGTTGCTGGCGGTTACTACCTGGTAATGTTTATGACTTTATGTGCTTCAAACTATGGCTGATTAATCAAATCTCATCCTAACACACTCAGCTTTCTTCTTCAGGGGGTCAGAACCGACAGGATCTGGAGCAACCTTCCGGCCGGGGACTTGGCAACCACCAACATAAATCTATGTTTTCAGCCTGGTGTTTTACTATTTTAGTCTCCCCGGGTTCTTATAACACTTGTTTTCTGATAAAAATGAACTGATAGTTCTACGTCAAGTTTGATATTCTCAATCATGCGGGGATATATAGTTCTTCAGAACTCTGTATCACAAACTGAGCACTGAGCGAAGAAGATGAGATGGCATTACTCTTCTTTTCATTTAACTTTTACAACTTCATTGGTTGAGTTCATAAGCTATGCTTATTACTCCATGAATCAAACTTCAAGGTTTTTTGCAAAGAGCAGCTGCAATGCAGTGCAGCAACCAGTAGACTCGATCCATGACTTTTTCGTTAATATTAGCTTAATGGTAGTTCCTCCAAACCCATGATCTCTTGCATCCACAGCTTAATCAATTATGCAACAGTGAGAGCATACAATGCAAATCCTGTAGACATAACCAACAATCTTGAAAATATTGAATAAACGCACCACAGCTTAACATAAATTAGGACATAACTTCAGTAGTCTTGATTGGTGACAGACAGATATTTGGGGGGGAAATACCAGAAGATTTCCGTCTGTTTACTCACTCCTTCACTATACAAAACTATCCATAACCCTTATTTCCTGCATCGCATCATCTAAACAAGCAGAATACAAGAGGGAAATGAATATATAAGGTCTTCTTTCATCCTAGTACGTGAGGCCTTGCATCTCCTGCCTCTTGGCTCGCCAAGTTGCAGTATGGATAACATCTTACTTCCTCCTCCTCTTGGAATCTCCCCTTCTGGTGGCGCCGGCTGTTCCTCTCCTGGAACCCACGACTGGGGCGCCATCGTTGGTAGAGGGAACAGGCAAATGATGCCCAGGAACCAAAGCAGGGAACCCAACAGCAGGGATTCTGCAAAACACAATAACAATCCCAAAATGCCATTTAGCTAAAGCAGTGCATAAACCAGAGAGATAAACCCACTAAGTAGATCAATCTTGATCAAGTTGGCAACAAACAGGTCATCGGTGTGTTCATTCATCAACGCTTAGCCAAAGCTATAAAGTTCAAGTCTTCAACAAAGCGCCAGTACAAAAACGTCACAAGATCCTGACTAACACATAGGTGGACATGCACGGAAGTATAAATTGTATTAGGCAGTTCAAAGTTTGATTCTTTTTTACTCCGCGGGAATTCCATGGTGTTTAGTAAGCCAAAGAAGGAAGAAGACATACCCAACAAGAGCACAGCAGACTCCTGCTCGGTCGAGGTAGCACCAAACGCTGCACCACTTCCATTGTGCAAACTGAATCGCAGAGCTTGATTCTCAGCAACGCAGCACTGAAGCAATCGCCCCAGTCTCCTGCATTCCCATTCCAGATACTTGCTCTTCGACTCCAGGTCCTTCACATACTCCTTCTTCCTCTCCCTAGATCTCACCGCCGCATCCCTGTTTCTCAACTGCCTGAATAAAAGAAGAAAGAAAACAAGACATGCACACTCATCGAACTCAATTCAATTCCTTTACCATACCACACTGCACATACTTATCAAAAACAGCAAGAGAATTAGGGCAGGGATTAACAGTTCCTACCTCTGCCGCTTCTTCAAGACGGGATCCTTAGGAGCATTGTCAACTTCAACGGGTGATGGAGGCTGGACCGGTGCTCCAGCTACAGCGGCATCGTTGTCCTTGTCGGAAGAATCAGGGGTGCCATGGTTGTGAGAAGAGGAGGAATCATCAGGATCAGCGCCGGAAGAGGAATCTGCAAAGGGAGGGAAATCAACGAAAAATTGAGCGACGAAATCGTCTGCGAACTGGGGATCGTCGGCAGCAGGTTCATCATCGTCTCCCATCAAGTGGGTCTCGATCTCTTGGATCCCTTGATGAAAATCATCAGTCTCGGTCCGATTCTGAGGCGATTCATCAAGGTCGGTCCAATCGATCTGCGAGATGATGTCGTCGAACTCCATGCTGCAATCTACGAGGGAGAGAGTTCCGATCTAACCTAATTGCTTAAGACCTAAGAGAACGAAAGGAAAAAATAAAAAGGGGAAAGTAAAGCTGAAGAGGAAGAAGAAGAAGGCATAAATAACAAATTACAGGGGACGTAGTGAAAGTTCGGGGAAAGGGGAGATCTTTGAGGAATTCAAGGGTGGGGCAAGGGGAGATGCTTGATCGGTGGTGGTGGGTGGGGTTTGGGTTACGTTTCTGTTTCAGAACCCTCAAAACAATAAGGACTAAGGAGTTGCATTTCAGTGTGGAAACTGGTTGAGGGTCGTGACATCATCCGCCCAATGATTCTCCTTGTTTCAATGATTTTTTTTCCACTCGAAAATTTTCGAATGATCGATCATCTACATAAATTTTCATAATGTCATTTACTAGGCATTATTTTTATTTTTGCCAAAAAATCACTCGTATTACCGAGGAAACAGCCAGATACAAAATAGTCACATAGCTTAAAACAGCCAAGAAACAAAATTGAACCCCACCAAAGAAGGGGACAACGAAAGAGCTTTTCTTGCCACCAGATGGGCAACCCTATTAGACTCCCGACCCACAAACATAACTCGAAACTCCTGGAACAAGTCACGCATACTTCGAATCTCCTCCAACAGCATCCCTCCATGGACATCATCTACCTCACCCTCCAGGATCTTCCCCACGATCACTTGGGCGTCACCTGCAAAAATCATCGACTGGAATCCAAACGCCAAGCACCATCGAAGCGCATCATGGAAGGCCAGTAGTTCCACAAGAGCCGGCTCCGAAATCCCCACATACAGTGCTGCCAATGCTGCCACCACCATGCCCGTGGGATCCTGAAGAGCCCAACCTCCCGCTCCATGTGAACCAGGCGCCGTAGCTCCATCCACGAAGATCACGAACTCTCCCAACGGAACATCCTCACGGCCTCTGACACCTGAGCCCCCTGAGTAACGACAAACACCTCGGCCGGTAAGTATGCCATCCCACTCCGCAACCTGCAAACGAAATTGAGATAACAACACCGGAACAATGTACTGAGTCAACTCAAAACCACCCAATTACAGGCCTTCCAGATGCACCGGAAAAGGGCTACAATATGCATCATGGCCCCCTGATCAAGCTCCCGCCACTCGAGTAACCTGCGCCAAAAGATCTCAACATTGCAATGAGGGAAGCGATCGCGAATGGCCAGTAGCTCCGCCCCTTCCCACAACCCCACCGCTACTCGGCAGCGGAAGAAGAGATGTTCAACTGTTCAAGAGATTCTCCCTCCTCCCCGCAGACTGGACATGGCTCCAGCCCCCTACCCCCCGAGTACTCAGTGCCTCACCAGTTGGCAAGACACCGCGAACCATCTGCCATATGAAATACCGCAACTTGGGAGGTATGGGAGCCCCCCAAACCCTTTTCCAGAGACTACGATCCCACACCTGCACTTTCGCCTTCACCCTTAACTCCTTATACCTCCTTAGCTCCACTGCTAGGTGATAGCCAGACTTGACCGTATAGCGACCTGATTGCTCTCCATTCCATACCATACAATCAGGCACCGGAGAAATAGGCAACAGAATAGCCAGAATAGCTCGGACAATATCCTCCTCAAAGATCTTACGTAGGCAATCCACCCTCCAAACCCCTTGATTCGGGCAAATTAAAGATGGAATTGATCCCTTGACCCTAATGATCCCCGGACGAGGTGTCGGGGGAGATGGATGCAACGTTGGCACCAATTGTCCGTTAGCACATCTATCGACTCACCCGAGCCAACTTGCCATCGCAGACCTTGGACCAGCAAATCACGTCCATGCAACAACCCCCGCCAGCCCCAAGAAGGTAAAGATCCAGCCTTGGCCACCAGAATAGAGGAGTTGGGAAAGTACTTACCCATAAACACCCGAGCTAACAGAGAATTAGGATCTTTCCAAATTCGCCACGCCACCTTTGCCAACAAAGCCTGATTAAACTCCTCAAATTGCCTAAAACTCAAACCTCCTTCATGTTTACTTAAGCACAACGATTTCCAAGAAACCCAATGAATCCGCCGCTCACCCTGTTTCACTCCCCACCAAATTCTAGCCAAATGCCTATTCAGTAAAAGACACAGTGACATAGGTAGAAGGAAGCAAGACATTACATTGATAGGCAAAGCATTAGCAACAGACTTAATAAGGACTTCCTTGGCAGCCCATGATAAACATCGCTGCTTCCACCCCTGGAGGCGTTGAATGACTCGCTCCTCAATATACCTAAAGGTATCATATTTAGAGCGCCCCACCAAGGAAGGCAAACCCAAATATTGATCTGTAACACCAATGGAACCCACTCCAAGCATACGCCCCATCTCTTCTTTATCAGCTGCTAACGTATTTCTGCTAAAACAAACCGCTGACTTAGATAGATTGACTTTTTGACCACTGAGCTCCTCATACTGCTTCAGAACCCCAACAAGGTGTCCACATTCTGATCGTGAAGCTCGTAGGAACAAATACGAGTCATCCGCGAAGAATAAATGCGAGACAACAGGGCATCGGGGGCTAATACGAAGACCGGTCAAAACACGATTTGAGATCGCCTGCTGGAGCAAAGCAGCGAAACCCTCGGTGCAGATAGCAAACAGTAGCGGAGATAAGGGATCACCCTGACGAAGACCTTGTGTTGCACTAAACTACCCTGAAGGCTTTCCATTCATCAAAACAGAAAACGTCGGAGAAGACACACACGCCCGTAGCCATTTGATCCATTGCGCACTGAAACCAAGTTTCTCAAGCAATGCGAATAAAAATGGCGATTTCACCCGATCATATGCCTTCTCCATATCAACCTTAAAAGCCATGAATTTCTGTTTACCTACCCTCTTATTCTTCAGGTACTGCATAACCTCGTGCCTGATCAAGACATTATCCACAATCTGCCTACCACGAACAAAACCATTCTGCCCCGGGGAAAATTGACAAAGACTAATAGGACGTAGATTCCGCATATGTTCTACTCTGTCAACCTTCGGAATAAGAACAAGCCAAGTATGATTACAATTCTTAAGGAGAGAGCTCGTAGTAAAGAAGTGAGTGACCGCCTCTATTACGTCCTGTCCCACAATGTCCCAAAACTGTCAAAAAAACACACCAGTAAATCCATCCGATCCCGGGGCTTGCGTAGCACCTATCTGAAAGACGCTACGCCAGATTTCCTCAGGGGACACTGCAGCAGTTAGTTTGGCGTTCATACTATCCGTCACTCTTCTTTCAATGGGCAACGCAGCTACTTTCTCCTGGATCAACTAGGGATCCAAACCGCTCGAGGTAGAGATCGCCATAGAAATCACATGCCACGTGCGCTATGTCATCCTCCGCTGTGACCCAGGTACCCGCAGGGTCATAAATACTGTATATGGTTATGGCGACGACGCGCTCTGGTGACATTATGAAAATAAGATGAATTCTGATCACCCTCCTTTAACCATGACACCCTTGACTTCTGGTGCCAGTAGATCTCTTCATCAATCCAAGCTTCCCTCAATTGTTTTTCCAGAGCACGAAGCTTTTTCCAATCCACAACAGAAGCCCCTCGAATAGTCTCCCACTCACGTTCGATTCTTACCATACTAACAACGTCGTACGAGCTACGAAATATATTATTTATGGTGAATGAGGTTATACATATTAGTCTTATATCAGTGGCGGATCCAGGGTTGGGCCAACTCAGGCCCCGGCCCAGCCCTCCTCCGGATTCAGAATTAGTTTAGTGCTTACAAATTTTTTCGATTTAGGTATTTGGCCAGTGCTATTTAAATCCTGTCTAGTTTTATTTGATAATAGGATTTTGTGTAACTAGGAAAATGGTTCAAATGAACATATCCAAACCATTACTCTAAATTTATACTAACATACCGTTTGATATAAATGAATTCCATAAGTTTTTAGGAATTCATTTTGAAATGAAATCTTTTTGTGTTTGGTATTTAAAAAAATTCATTCTCAATTCTAAATTTTGAATTCTACGGAATTGGAACTAGTTATAGCAATTCCGAGGAATTGTGATGGAATTTTCAAATGAATTCCACAAGTATTTACCAATTATGATAAAATGACATAATTATTCTCATTTATTAACAAAATTACTTCTACATATATTATTTGGCGCCAATTCATGCAGTATGAGGAACTTCGACAAGAATTTGATTGTAACGCTAACATACCGTTTGGTACCAAATGAATCGAGAATTCATTTCATTGTAAAATAAATTACCGTGTAGAATTCATTGTCAAATGAAATCCTATGTTTGTTATGTTATATTCAAATCATTGAAGTGTCGTGTAGAATTCATTGTCAAATGAATTTCTGTGTTTGGTATGTCATATGTACAAGTAATTTAGTTAATAAAAGAGGATCATCATGTCATTTTATTATAATTAGTAAATACTTGTGGAATTCATTTGGAAATTCTATCTCAATTCCTCGGAATTGCTATAACTAGTTCCAATACCGTAGAATTCAAAATTTAGAATTGAAAATGAATTCTTATTAATACCAAACACAAAAATATTTCATTTCAAAATGAATTACTCAAAACTTATGGAATTCATTTATTCCAAACAGTATGTAATAGCATATACCAAACACAGGAATTCATTTGACAATGAATTCTACACAGGAATTCATTTTAAAACGAAATGAATTCTGGATTCATTTGGTACCAAACGATCTGTAAATTTTTTATATTCCCAATGATTTTATATGAAAAAAGACATGAAAACCTAAAAGTGTAAAGTTTCATTAAAATAAAAATAAAAACTCTAAACTAAAGAACACCATTCTTTGCAAAATTCAAAAAATTTTCCAATCCCCCCAAAACAAAACAAGAATGAGGAGACGAGCAGACCCAGATGGATTTCTCCGCCAGCCCATCGAGCTAGTTTTCTTTCCATTCTTTTGATTAAGAAAATATTTACAAACTTGCTTACTCATCATTCAGATTGCCTCAATTGAGTGGGGCAATAGATTCTAACCGTTCTTTCTGGTGTTTTGATGAAGAAAATATTTACAAACTTGCTCAAGAGTTTAGCCTCGAGACTTTGAAGGCTATGAGATGCATTCTTTGGAGAATGCACTACTCATGTGAGGAAGATGAAGTTTCTTCTCTTGCAAAATTATTAGAGAAGCTGGAGGAAACAGGGATGAACACATAATACAAATTGATTTGTCGGTTGATTTGTCTAGTGTTGACCTAGCCGTTTCAACAACTACCATGGAGAGAATATTTTCAGCAATGGAACATGAACATTGATTTGTGCAACAAAATGAGCGATGAATTTCTCGTTGATTACTTAGCTATTTTCTTTGAAAAAGAGTATATTATCAGTATGGATGGAGATTATAGTATTGATGAATTTGCCAAATTAAAAGACCTTCTTGTACAATTGGCATTGTAATGAAAAATATATTATTATATATTTTTGTTTATGGTATCCAATATTCTATTCAAATGCGGCTCAATGCTCTCTTATGTCCTGGATCCGCCACTGTAATATAATTGATCTATGTAATTTAGTTTTGATTTATATATATTGGTTAAATACAAAACTTTTATTGCAACTAATTGTCTGATTCATTCAAAATTTGGGCAAAATATACGTGAATAACTATAACTTTGATCTTTGTGACAAACATAGCCAAGTTTTAAATAATCACAAATATTGCGAGATTCGGGATGATCATGGGACAAATACAACCATTTCATTAAAAATATTAAGGTCATTAGAGATGTCGTTCAGAAATATCAACGACAAGCATCACCATTTCATTAAAAATATTAAGGTCATTAGAGATGTCGGTCAGAAACATCAACGACAAGCATCACCATGTCATGCCACATGTGAACCATATCATATTAAAAATACATTCGTATAGACAACTTTCATCCTTATGGCAAATATAACCATTTTTTTGCAGAATGACAAATATAAATCTCAAATTTGATAATGTCAAATTCAAACCCACCCACTAATATAAAAATCGTGTTGATTTGTTCCGAATTTTGTCAGTTTAATTTGGACTATATCTCCCTATAAAAACCAAGCCAACGCACAAAGATTGTCACTCATTCCTTGTTTTCTTGTAATTAAATAAACACAAATATGTAATACATTAACTTATAGCTTTCATACATCATTCATATAAAATTAACCATCCTCCTAATAATATTTTCTGCATTATTCATGTAGAATATATAAAGGAGACCAGATATACATCATTGATTGTTGTTTCCACCTCAAAAGGTCGACAATTTTAGCTGCAAGTGTTAAAACACTCCAAATACTCTACAAAAAATCAAAAGAATGGTACATATACAAAAGGCCATGATATCTTTCAATCTTTATTTCCATCCAATTAGCTATATAGCAGCAAGCCAGCAACCTCAGCAATTGTTAATGTACGAAAACAACTCATACAACACCGAATAAAGAATCACATATTAGTACTAGGATACGTATAACTTGAGTCAAAATTCTATAAAACTAAACCAACTAATTCACCATTTTACTCTCTAGGCATTAATAATAACTTCATTGTCATTAGAGGTGGCAGTTAGAATCCAAATCCATGAATCCAATCCAATCTATCCACCAAATTATCCACTTAATCCAATCCATTTAAATCCAATCCATTTGATCCAAATCCAATTGGATTGGTGGATTAACGGATCAATCCATGAATCCAAATGACAAATTACTATTTGGTACCTATATTTTTATATTTTACATTTTGGTACCCAAAATTTATAATTTTATACGGAAAATATCATTGAAAAATTACATTTTGGTACCTTAAATTTTTCATTATGACATTTTAGTACATATACTTTTCAAAATTTACATTTTGGTCCAAACTTTTGATGTCCTTTGGATTCATGGATGAATCCACCAATCCATTGGATCCTATCCATTTGATCCATGAATCCACCAATCCAATCCACCAACGCTTGAATCCAATCCATTTGTCACCTCTAATTGTTATCAGTCAATATGAATAAACCTCAATCCTATAATTCTGTAATAAAATAAAAAAAAGGCAAATGGTTAGATACTCAAACATAAAAAGTCGCCAATGCAAAGTAATAACTCAACACAAAGTAACACATTACCATTAGATTACTCTTCGTTCAGATTTGGGAAGAATCTCAAGTGGATCAACCTCTAATTAAGTCCGTAGCAAGTGGTTTTCAACACAACCAATTTTGTTCCATTGCTCTTGCAAAATCTTAACTGTGGTTCGTAACTATGTTAGATCCTTTTCAGCCCCAAACACAAATTTAGTAGCAGAACCTAGGATCCGGATAGTTTAACAACACTCTTTTTATTGTTATAATAACAATAGGTTTCATTAAGGGTAAAAGGGTAAATTAACAATAAAAATAATAAATAAAAATTAATCCACACGCGCATGTTCTTCCACACGCCCGCACACGGTATGTTCTTGCTCTCAGATCCGGTGTAGAGCAGATCCCCTGACGCGGCGAGGGAGTAGACGTGTCCCTCCTGGCGGACGATGGATCCGATGAGGCTGTCCCCACTGCCGGTGCCGTCGTTGGGGAAGAGCGCAGGGGAAGGGATAATCTAGGGGGATTTCATGTACGGAGACAACGGGTGGTGGCTGCTGTTGACGTTCCAGGGGGAGAACAATTGGCCGCCGGCGTACGGCGAGCAGGTGGTGCGCGGAGAGGAAGAGGCGTGGTCGCTGCTGGGAGTTCCGCTGCTGTTGGAGTTCCGAGGCGTGCTGGTGACGCTGGAGGAATTCGATGGCGGCTGCTACTGATGTTCTTGTTGTTGTGATTGGTTTCGTCGTCGTTGTCGGAACGGAGGACGGTGGAGCTCAAGTCCCCCATACTCATATTCCTCTTCTTCCACAAAGCTATCCGGTTGGAGCTCGACGGCCTCCACCGCGCCGCCATGGATTTCGCCACTAGTGGCGGAGATATTAAACCTCTGCTGTACAAGTATCAATCCGGTTGGAGCTCGACGGCCTCCCCCGCGCCGCCATGGATTTCGCCACCGGAGATATTAAACCTCTGCTGTACAAATATCACTTCGTCCGTGGCATTTACAAGCACCACTGCAATTAGACTCACTTTAATTTTCATTGCAAAACACCAATTTAATTCATTTGTAATTGCAATTAGTGAGTACAAGTCAATTTATAATTTTCCTAATGCAGATCACAAGTCACTAAAACCAACCAAAAACAGAATAAACAAAATCACAAATATTTCTAACACCAAAAACCCCCTAGTTCAAACCACAAACGCAATAAAACAACCCACAAAAAACATACCGGAAACCTCCTAATGCAAACCACAAATTCGCTAAAATATATAAAAAAACCACAAAGCAAACCATAAATATTTTGCAAAGCACAACAGAAACCTCCTAATACAAACCACAAACACGGTAAAGCAAACCAAAAACGTCCTAATGCAGACCACAAATATATTAAAACAAACCAGAAATCTCGCAAAGCAAACCACAAAAGTTTCGAAAGCACACCAGAAACTTCTTAATGCAAACCAGAAACCTCCTAATGCATACCACAAATCTCCTAAAACAAACCACAAACCTCACAAAGCAAACCACAACATTTGCGAAAGCACACCAAAAACCTCCTAATGCAAACCACAAACATAGTAAATCAAACCACAAAAAAGCAAACCATGAACGTCCTAATGCAAACCACAAATATATTAAAATAAACCAGAAACCTCACAATGCAAAGCACAAAGTTTTTGAAAACAAACCAGAAACTTCTCAATGCAAACCACAAACACAATAAAACAAACCATAAAAGGCATAAAAAAATATGAGAAACCAAACCATAAATCTCACAATGCAGACCATAACATCCGGTGGTCGTTGACCGTTGACCGGTCAACGAAGACCGTTGACCGAACTCCGGTGACCGTCAGTGAGCAGATTCCGACGCCCATAGGCATATTCCGGCCCCGGTGACTAGATTCCGACGCCGGTAAGCATATTCCGACGCCGGTAAGCATATTCCAACTCCGGTAAGCATATTCCGGCCACAAAATAGCATATTCCGGCGACCGGCGACCATTTTCCGACGACCTGTGGCAGAATTCCGACGACCAAATTTTTGGGCAGAAAATAAAAAAATTATTTTTTTATTTTTTTATTTAAATAGATTTTTCATAATGACAATTATACCCCTGCTTTGATTTTACACTAGGTCAACTCATCTAATAAAAAGTCATCACAATCCTATCTTCCTATTGGTTGGGGACTAGTGTTGTTACAATAACAACACAATGGGTGTTGTTACAATAACCGGTCCCCAGAACCTAACCCTCTTTCACAAACAACCCATTTCTTCTTAATTTTTACAACTACTTCCAAAATCAACCATTTAACACTTTTTCACATTGTTAGGAAGTTCAACATAATTTATTGTACAAATGCTCAAAACAGTACTTTACATACAAAAGCATATATCTAGGTTCTAAAACAATAACCACATACAGTACAACAATGGATTAAGGTTTTCAACATTCGCCCAGTATTTCATAAACTTTGACATCATCTGAATGTCACATACCTGTAAGCATAGTATCATCAATTGCTGGCAGATGAACCATTTCATCTTGCAAAGCAATTAGCTCATGAAAGAAAAAGCTAGAAGTACACTCAATTTGCTGGAAATTTTCAAGGTGACCATATAAAACGCTTGATGCATATCTTCTCAATTCACATGCTGACTGCCGAAAGCAAACGCTTCTCAGCTCAATTTTGATATATTACAGAACTATATACGCCAGTTACAGAACTTCCAAGCCAAAAATACAACAATCTGATGCTACGTTTGTGTCGCAGCTGTTTTGCTTTTAGGTTTTACCATGCAATGATTTGGTAGCTCTGGAGGCAAGAGCTATAGCCTTGGCGTTCGTGCTACTCATCAACATCTCCCGCTCAGCACGACGCTGATGCTGCCTGGCATTCTTTGCTCGCTTGGGGGCCAACCTTGTGTCTCTTTCGACAAATGCAAGTCTGAATCTTTCGGCCATCGACAGCTCAATCTCGGTGTTCTCTGAAACGCTTGGTGACACAGATCTCGGCACAAAACCACCTACAGCCCAAGTGGTCGGATTAATATCCTTCACAACTGAATTGTCCAATGGAATGTCTGCATATGCTTCAAGGGGGACCTCGAGTCCATGGAAACCCAAAGGTGATGGCTTGGGATTGACTATGATGCGTGGGCATTCAGCAGCTAGAGTTTCTTGCGAATTTTTATCAATCATTGGCTGTAAACCAGAAAGCAAAATGAAATTTCAGTCGTGCAAAAGATAAACAGGCAGAGCAGCAATTTTGTCCTATTTCAGGCACCAGGAAAGATAAAAGTGCATAAAAACGGATGACAATAGGTATACTGCGAGCAACTCCCTACCCAAATAAGCCACCGAAGGGATTCAGCACCATGAGCAATTTCTGCAGCATCAAGTTCCTCCCAAGAATCTCCTTCCAGATCAATCAGTTTTGGCTTCAATACACCCAAGCTACGACGTGCAGTGTAATTGCTCCTTGGGCATCCTCTGCAACATTAACTTTGGTTCAATCCTGTTATAGTTTGTAGTAACCTAGTCAAAAACCTCAACCCTTATCTAGTTCAAGTGCAAACATGCAGGAAGGAAATATAAGGCGAAAAGCCAAAGGGAAAACCCATTTCAAGAGAACCAATAGGGTAGTTATCTAATTCTGGATACTCATTGCATACTAAACTTTAAAGGAGGGCTGAGAGTCAATGCCATTGATTTACCAATGAAGGAACAAAAGAAAGCATACCCGCATCTCAATGTCTGCAACGACTTGCAGTGCTGTACGAGTTCAGCCACACCAGCACGGGTAATCTGACTGCATCGGCTGCAAAATTAAGGAGTTCCTATTTGAAAAATAAACCATTTATATGGGAAAGCCATCAACAAGTAGAAAAAGATAAATGCTAGCCACCAATGCGATGACATTAAGACCAGAACAGCAGTATCATATTGCTCATTGCTCAATAAGTACAGCACAGAAGCTTTGTTACCACACACCTTATATCCACAGCCGTGATTTGGCTGCATATTATCGAAACTTCAGCCAAACCGACATCAGTAACATCTGACCCTGAAATGTCAAGAATTTCCCAGGAACTGTCGGCTAATGAAACGATCACATCATCATTCAACAATTTCCGTCGCCGGGCAATCGCTACAATTGCAAGCTGCAATGCAAAGATCATGAACTCATAATTCGTTCCAGCCCAACCTGAAGATAACTTGTTGAATTGAGAAAATTGCTAGCTTAACGTAGCAAATCAAGTAATGCAAGTATGCAACCTTAATATGAGCGGGAACGCCGACAGATATCTCACTCAACTCTCCAATTACATCATCCAGATGGCTGCCCAGAACTCCCAGACACAAGCTCGCTAAGCTTGGAGGCCTTCCCTTCTGTCTACGAAATCCTACGAAGGCAATCATTTGAGGGATCAGCATGGAACTAAGATTACAAAACTGGAAAAAACGAAACTTCTGAATTCGGCTGCTATGAAGTTCTTCAATTCAAGAGACAGATATAGGTTGGACAAGAGAACTTACTGGAAGGTTGAAGGGTTGGAATGGAACGAGAAGAATTGGGATTCAAGGAGGTGGAAATCAAAGCAAGCTTCTTCAACGACGCTGATACGATTTCCTCCGCAGGTCTTTCCATCTAAGATTCCTCCAGAGAGGAAAGGAGGAGGAGGAGGCGGCGGTAGCAGGTAGGGAAGCTCTGGAAGAGAATTCGGGGGCGGCAGCGCAGGGGAGAACGGAGGGGGATGCTGGTGTCGGAAATTGGGATCTTTTTATGGGGTCAAATGTGATCTTTATGAAGTAACATCAAAGTAGAGGGACTATGTATGTAATTTACTCGCGAAAGGAAAAATATGCTGGAGGGCATTAGTGTAATTTTAAGTGGTCCCTCAGGCCGGCAAAATGCTAATCAGTCAGTTCCCGAAGTTTTTGAATTTCCTACTCGCTCTCAGTCGCAGCAGAAGCGACGGCTGGCCGGAGCTTCACGAGGTAAATCGTTTAGGGTTCCGATCCAATGGTGAAGACGCTGCAAGGAGGAGGAGGGAGCCAGAATCTTCCAGCGGATGTGGCGCAGGTGATCGATCAGTTGGAGCGCCACTGTCTGGCTCCCGATGGATCTCTCGTCTCCAAATCTGCCTACTATGACCTTCAACTCGTACTTGACTCTTCCCCTTCATTTTCTTCATTTCTCTGAAATTCTTCTCTTTTCTGCTGCAGCCAAAAAAATACCAAAAAATGAGACCGCTTTCAGTTTGAGAATCCGTTGATCGGTGGTTCCGTGTCGTTCATTTGGTGGGAATTCTGGCAGAGTTTGATAAGTGACTGGTTGTTATTTTTGGCAGGCGAGAGAAGAGATGGCGAGAGAAAGATTGCGTTACTTGGAAGCTATGGTATGGTACATTGCTCCTTCGCCTTTCAATTGGGTCATAAATTTTGGATCTTTGAATTTGCTGCCACATATCCGTAATTTGATGTAGGAGCGTTCTTAGTAAGGAATCTCATAAATTTTCATTTCTTGCTTCTGTTGCTCTTGGTGGGAATTCAGGCAATTTATTGTGAAGCATCTGCTATGGTGGAAGAGTATCAGCAGGCTGTGTCAAGCCCTAGTCTTGGAGGCATTCGGGACGCCCTGTATCCACAGCTTAGCTTGAAGAGCCACTCCCAGGTGCTCATGCTAGAGTTTTCCCGTTTTATTACTGAGTTGGAGTGTGCTTCATTGTGTTCAGTCTATCCCACCAACATTAAGGATCATTTCATTGTGTTATATCGGATTATAGTTCTTGATTTGTTGTTTGCATTCATTGGACTTAATTTTAGAGAATTCGAGGCCCTGATTCTGTTGATTCATGCTTTACGGCTTGCACTTAGAGCCAGAACCAAGAATTTGTATGGAACTTATCCATGGTCATTATTAATTCTGTAACTATTTGAAGCAAACGTGACAGTGCCATTTAACTAATATGATGTTTGAAACCTTATAATGTCCATTACTTAGAGGTGATACTAGTGTCTTTCGCATAAATTAATGATATGTTCTATTCATCACAGGTTTATGAGACTCTAGAGCATCGATTGGTTGTTGCAGAAGCAGCTCAGAAACTGAGGCTTCCTCTTATATCAAAAGATGGTGAGGTTCAGGAGGAAGATATCGAAAAATGGAGCGTGATGTCACGTAGCTCCCTAGATAGTACCGGTACCAGTGCCACAATCAGCTCAAGCTCTAATTCACTATATTATCCAAATAGTACCACAAACAGCGCAGGTGCAATGGGTAGTGCCTTCTCTCCAAGTGTTGCTGACTCATTGGATCCTGGAGTTGGTGGCCTAGCCAATCAGTATCTTGGTATTACCCCTGCCTATCTATGGCAAACTCAGCTCCAACAGATGCCCTTAATGATGGTAAGCTAGTGTACCATATAAAATTTGAGAAATAGATAGTCTTACCTTTGGGTTCGGAAGCTAAATTTCTGTTTAACCTGTATGTACACTTTTCTTGTCTGAAAATTTGGGGAACTCTCCAGGACATGGCTGAATATCAGATGTCTTTGTCCCATGAAATTGAGACTCGTTTGAAGGACAAATGTGATAAGTTAGCTGATGCTTTTGTTGATGATATTGGTACGTTATCGAAATTACTATCCCTACTCTCTTTTCCCCATTCTCTACCCCGTCTTGCTCAGGTTTCAGTACTTGCCAAAAATCTTTATTTTGTCATCCTTAATGTATGTTTTGTCACATCTGATCAGTTATGTTAACTGCCTAAGTCAAGGATGCTGTAGGGTTAGTTCTTAGTTTAATGCAACTCGTAACCCTTTATCCGCATATGCGTGTCTATGTATATGCAAAACTCACCCCTTGAATTGATTTTTCCTCTTTCAGATTCTGCATCTGCTGCTCACAATTCAACAGCTTGGCTTCCAGAGAGGTTTGAATCACTCTATTGCCATTAGTTTCCTGAGTTAACTCTCTTCTAAGTTTTGGGGCCACTGGATAACCTGTTTGATGGTGGACAACACAACTAACTAGGAATCCATACACTGGTGCAACCTTCTAGTGTCTTTTGTTTGAGCACCTTTAACTAGGATTTTTTTAACATTATCAGGGTGAAGTTGATAACTGAGGAAATTGAAAGGGAAGAAGGAGCTCTGAGGGAGGACCTCTATTCCGTTGATCGAAAATTTGCAGAATATTATAACGTATGTCTGCTTTTCTTCAGATAAATTTTTTGTGGGTTTCATGTTCTTCTCTTCGATATTGGAAGCAGTATGCCCTGATGTTGCTTTCACTCCTGCTTATTTTCTTCTTGCCATTGTATCTAACATGTAAACTTGTCTAATGATTTTTTCTTATGAAGGTCTTGGAGCAGATCCTTGGGGTGCTCATTAAGCTTGTCAAAGATTTGAAGTTGCAACACCAGCACAAATATGTAAGCATTTAACTGTTAAAATTTCTCATGAAAGTGTCTTTCTTTAAATATGGTTTGATGTTCCATTAAAAGAAAAGACAGTTTGAAGGCAGTCTCTGTAACAAAAACCTATTTTTTACCTAAGTTGGATTGATTTCTACGGACTCTTATCTTATTGTTGTACAGGATGAACTACAAACGACTTGGTTGTGCAAGAGGTGTGAGACAATGGACGCAAAGCTAAGGTTTGTTGCCACTTGTGCCATTTATTCTGGCCTGTCACAACAGAGAAGCTGACCAATGCACTTGGCAGTTAGCGGCCATAAAACCTGATCAAGTGCTAGACTTGCTAGTACTAGTATTGATAAGATGTGTCATCTTTTGTTAGTAACTCCTTGAGATGCATGACAACTACAGGGTTCTGGAGCATGTTCTACTACTGGAGACTTATACTCAGGAGTCAATACCAGCACTCCACAAAATAAGGTTTGTGGTGTTGACCTCTTTGATTCTTCAAGATAGATGCATGAAGCGACAGAGATTTCATCTCATCAAGAATGTCAAAACCCCTTGCTCTTGTTTCAGGAAATACCTTATCGAGGCTACCGAAGAGGCTTCTCTTGCATATAACAAAGCGGTTTGTCCCATTACCACTGTCCTTGTCCAGCAGGGAATGTTGTATAGAAGCTTGCTTCATTTTGCTTCCCTTACCTTAAGCTGTACCAGCATATGTAGCCTGCACATTTTCCTGTTTCCCTGAACCATTTGTTCCCGGTTCCTAAAATCCAATCTAACCTGCATTTCAACATCTTTGTTTTCCAGGCCACACGCCTTCACGAGTACCTAGGCGTTGACCCCCAATTCGACACCATCGCAAGACAATACCAGGAGATAGTCAGGGTAAATCCTTAACCATTCACCTATTTTGCAACTATAGAAACTGTCATGCACTGGTTTCCCGTGCAAGTAAACCACCACTCCCTTGCACACTGGATGACTTGTGACAAGATAACTCGCTATATGTTGTAGAAACTGGAGAATTTGCAATGGACAATCCATGAGGTCGAGAAGGACGTGAAGCAGAGCAAGTAAATCCGCCGTGGCCCTGTTCTCGTGCATGGACGTGATTATCTCAATGGTGGTGTACCCAAAGCTCCTCTCGCTGTCATCACTCACTTTCTTTCGGCCTTTTTCTGGGATTTCATCATTTTGCTAGTTGTGTACTTATGTTTGTAGCTCTTTGTATATAGTAAACCGCGTGTATACCTGGAGAGTTCCTGAGTTGCTCATCTTGGCATCCTTTTTCCTCTCAATGTATTTCAAGCATTCATTAGTTTTGTGGCTTTGAAAATATGACACATTCTTTCCAGCTCAGGCTGATTATACACCACTGCCGAAGACTAGAGAAAGTACGTGAACAATTGACTTTGAAAATATGACGCATTCTTTCCAGCTCAGGCTGATTATACACCATTACCGAAGACTAGAAAAAGTAGGTGAACAATTTCTTTTCCGGTCTAGAAACATTTTATTCACGCTTTTTGTCATCTTCAAGCATCACATCTTATTGTAGATTCTTTCTTATCCATTCCTACTCTTTCCGAAAGTGCTCCAGTGTTGAGATTTCTTTTTGTTCCCATCACTTGACTTTTTTTTAACCACTATTCTATACCAAAAGAGAGTTGTTCTTCTAGGAATTGGTTTATTATTTTTTCAACTTATATTTGGGTACAGTAAGATCCCGTTATTTCTTATTGAATTAAGTGTGATCAGTATCATTCGTGTAAGAATTAGAAATTTCTTCACCAAAAGAAAACATACAAAGCCACGACCCCGACCTATAAATCCACTATCATAAAGCGAGGAGTTGAGCTTGCTTTTATTTGTATTTACTATTTACATGGTTCAAAAAGGCACGCTTAATTTTACGCCTCAACGCAAGGCAATAACAAAACGTCTCGTCTTGGGGTTTCACGCCTAATTAGATACTAGAATACGTCAATGGAGTAAGGCGACATATAAGTCTCTCCTAAACACAACTAGATGGAGCTAGGAAGTCAATATTAAAGGAGAAAATTAACATCAACTACGAAATAAATTTTCTATATCAATACTTTCAATAGCTCAAGAAATTTGTGACTATTGAGCTATGATTCTATGAATTCTTGAGCTATGTTCTTATCTTTAAGTGTTAAATAAGTTATTAATCATTTTAAATGAAGTGAGGAAGTGTTGTAAATTATTATTTCATTCATCATGAAGTGTGAATAGTTTTTTTTCTTCGAACGTCTAGGCACGCTTAATCTACGTCTAGACGAGCTAGGCGCTAGGCAAAAACTCAACGCCCGCCTTACGTCTAGCGCCTTTTTGAACCTTATTGAGAGGAGACTACCTTAACATAGAGATGAATATAACCCTAATTGTTCTTTCTTTCTTGTATAAACCAAGGTGATTTCCGGAAAGTCATTCAATTCAATGACAGATCGACCGTTGGATTGCTTCCATTATTGGACGCCTAATAAGAGCACTTTGTGAGCATCTTAACCGGTTGCATCTATGTTGGCACAATTGCTGACCGACCAATCTGTTGGCCTTTGAGCATCCAGAAATTTCTGGTCCATGGACCCACACCTCGTGAATGATATTGATATGCACCAGCACCACTCATCCACATTGCGTTGCCCCTACGCACTCGTGGAGAAAGCGTCCCCCAAAATAGCCGTATCCCGTAAGGTTCCCTCACCCAATCACAGCCGTCCGCTTACTCCGTTACCCCCATCTTCCACCGTCAACGCGTGAACAAGAAAGGGTAATATAGTAATCCGTCAAATCCAACCGAGTCCATTCGAGAAGTGGTTTACAGGCTTAACCGGTTTATCCCGACCGACAACGACTCTCGCTATCTCCCGCTATATAAACCATCCCCCGCCCTTCCTGCCTCTTCATATTCGCATCCTTCCCGAGTTCAGGACAAACAAGCTTCCTTCCAACGCACGCAGTTCTCCGCCAGGTGAGTCGGTCTTCCCCAACTCGCTCGCTTTCTCTTTTCCACCAATATTTCCTTCCTTTGCTCTGCTTGTTTCATATTAGCGATCAATTTTCAGTCCTGTCATCTTTGATCATCTCGTTCCTTGGTCGATTTGGAGCTTTGAATTGTGTGTTCAAATGATCGTATATGCTTAAATTACTAGATTTGGCATGTTTTCGTTTCTCTCCGATTGTTAGCTGCTTTGATCGTATAAAGAAAGAAATTGTTAGAGAATTGTTGATCCTCTTCTGTTCTTGCCTCTTTGGTTGCTTCATTCATGGGCTTAGTTGAATACGGTTCAGATTCTTATGCTGATCAGTATGGTGGTTCCTTTTCCTCTGCGAATTTGTTTTGCTGATAATCTGTTCGATGAAAAGCCGCTCCCATTGAATTTCATTAGGGCACGTTTCCCCTGCTTGCTGACGAGCCGTATTTCTATGATTGTTCAGTTCAGCAGACGAACAAGTACCCAACAAGCAAAGTACATGGTTGAACTAGACTTCCAGATCCCCTCTGCTATCGACCCCTTCGCCGAGGCCAAAGACTCGTCGGGAACGAAAGCGAAGGTGCACATCAGGGTGCAGCAAAGGAATGGGAAGAAGTGCCTGACCACGGTCCAGGGGCTGCCGAAAGACTTCAGCTACGAGAGGATACTCAAGGACGTGAAGAAGGATTTCTGCTGCAACGGCAACGTAGTGAATGACAAGGAGCTGGGGAAGGTTATTCAGCTCCAGGGCGACCAGCGCAAGAACGTCCAGGCCTTCCTGCTCCGTTCCAATCTCGCCACCAAGGACCAGATCCAGATTCATGGTTTCTAGGCCACTCTAGCCGCTGAGTCTGTGTGTGCTTTGAATTGATTGAATGTTGCCCGCCCTATAATAGTGGTTTGTGATAAGTTGAATAACAGCCTTGTGCTCGATTGTGTTGCTCGTTCCGCTTTTTGATTTGTTTTGTTTTCCCCGATGGGGTTGATGACATACGAATGTAACGTTTCTCAATATCCGATAATAATGGTACAACTGGTTGTCTCCGGATTTATGATTCCTTGCCTTTTCTTTGCTTTTTAACGCTAAGCATAACTGGTAAGCATAACTGGGAAGCAGGCGGATATGGTGACAACGCTATATTTGTTGTTATTGTAACAACACTAGTCTCCAACCAATAGAAATCTAAGATTGTGATGACTTTTTATTAGCTTAGTTGACTTAGCATAAAATCAAAACAGGGGTATAATTGTCATTATGAAAAATATGTTTAAATAAATAATAAAAAATAAATTTTTTTTTTTTTTATTTTCTGCCCAAAATTTTGGTCGCCGGAATTCTGCCACCGGTCGCCGGAAACTTGTCGCCGGTCACCGGAATATGTTTTTGTCGCCGGAATATGCTATTTTTCGCCGGAATATGCTTACCCGCGTCGGAATATGCTCACCGTGGTCGAAATATGCTTACCGGCGTCGGAATCTAGTCATCGGGGCTGGAATATGCATATCGGCGACGGAATCCGGTCATTGACGGTCATCAGAGTTCGGGCAACGATTTTTGTTGACCGGTCAACGGTCAACGATCACCGAATGTTATGGTTAGCATTGTGAGATTTATGATTTGGTTTCTCATATTTTTTTATGCCTTTTGTGGTTTGCTTTATCGTGTTTCTGGTTTGCTTTATCGTGTTTGTTGTTTGCATTGAGAAGTTTCTGATTTGCTTTCAAAAACTTTTTGGTTTGCATTGAGGGGTTTCTGGTTTGTTTTAATATATTTGTGGTTTGCATTAGGACGTTTATGGTTTGCTTTTTTGAGGTTTGATTTACTGTGTTTGTGATTTGCATTAGGAGGCTTCTAGTGTGCTTTCCAAATGTTGTGGTTTGCTTTGTGAGGTTTGTGGTTTGTTTTAGGAGATTTGTGGTATGCATTAGGGGGTTTGTGGTTTGCTTTATTGTGATTTTTTTATCATGTGTGTGGCCTGCATTAGGATGTTTCTGGTGTACTTATGAAAGACTTGTTGTTTGCTTTTTTTTGTGTGGTTTGCTTTACCGTGTTTGTGATTTGCATTAGGAGGTTTCTGGTGTGTTTTCGCAAATGTTGTGGTTTGCTTTGTAAGGTTTGTGGTTTGTTTTAGCGAATTTGTGGTATGCATTAGGAGGTTTCTGGTTTGCTTTTTTGTGATTTTTTTTTATCACGTTTGTGGTCTGCATTAGAAGGTTTCTGGTGTGTTTATTAAAGACTAGTGATCTGCATACAATTAACTCCTAAATGCATACGATAAATACAATAATACACTAAAAAAGCATGCCACCAACAAGCGCTCGCTGAAGCACCACGCCATTTTTAAGCTCAAGATCCTCTTCAAGCAAGGGTTAGCTTTTACCGATTTGCGGAGCGAGAGCGAGAGCGGGAACCAGAGCGTGAGAGCGTCAATTTCTTAAGAACTTAATATAGAGCGCACATAAAAAGTGGTAATATTATATTATTTAAATATATACTTTAAAAAACTTGGTTATAATAATCTAGAAGAAAATAATTCATTATCAAAAAGGCTATTTTATTTTGGCAAGGACTTTCAAGTTTTAACCATATTATTTTCTATTTTTTAAAATACAGAAAAACTAACAAAATAAAAGTAATTTGACAGCCACAAAATTTCGTAGCAGTATCTCTCCACTCCATCTCCGCCGTGGAGATGCTTCCAGGCCCCAACCTTGCTCCAACGGATCTCATCGTCATCAATTGACGGCGTGAAGGTCAGAGTGATAGCAGGTTAAGCCCTCGGCGCTAAGTCGCCGGTGTACACAATTACGCCGACGATGTACCTGGACTTCACGCTCAAGCCGGGAGCGCAACTCCGGCAGCCGATTCCGGCATCGTGGAACGCGTTCGTGTACGTGCTGGAAGGGGAAGGAGGGTTTATGGCAGAGAAGTGCCGACGACGATCTTGCCGGTGGTGGATGAGAGAGTAAGGCAGAGAAGCGTCAATGGGGATATCGGAGGAGAAGAGATCGAGAGACGGAGAGGGGAAGGCTGGAGATCGAATTTTTTATTAATTAATTTTAATTTTAATTTGTTATTTTGTGTTAGTTTATCCTTTTACCCTTAATGAATCTTGTTGTTACTATAACAACACTTAGGGTGTTGTTATGCTATCCAGCCCCGCATAACTATTTATTAGAGGGCGGATCTGGTGACTAGGGTACTTTTTAATTAATGGCATGGGTAGTTTGAGTATTACGTAAAATTATGAAGTATACAAAATGGACTTACAAACAGTACAAATCTCACAAACATATGAACAATCAAATTAGACAGACAAAATATACAAACAATACGAAACATACGAACTATACAGACAATAC